AGAGAAATCTAGATCCAAACATTAGGGTTTGTATGCGCACTTAGGAATGTTCTTATGTACAAAACCCATCAGTGGTATCAAAGCCTTGATTGGTTTATATTAAATTGATGCTTGATGTTTGAATCATAAGAAAAATTCGATTTTTATGTTTCTGAGTCATGGACTCGGCGAGTCCCATAATGGACCTCGGCGAGTTGGCCTGACTCGGCGAGTCCAGCGTGGGTAATCGGCGAGTCGAAGCGTCTGGATTAGCCAAAAATGGGATTTTTTTCATATTTATCTTATGAAACTTACCTTAATCATATTAGATCAACCCTAATCCGATTTTATGATATATATGACTATATTTTTGATCTAACTGAAGATAATTATCAATTAAGAAAATATTTTTGATTTCCTTATATGATAATTATTAATTAAATATGGATAATTATGTGATTTAGATTATTTGTTATTTGATCCTTTATGTTTTAAATGTTTAAAACTTGTCCTCAAGTTTTGAAATTTATGTTTTGTGATTAAAAGTTTAATTTAGACAATTTAAATTTCAAACCCTAGAATTTTACAAGTTTAAAATACAACCCTATACTAATATAATATTACAAGATTTATATATATATATATATATATATATATATATATATATATATATATATATATATATATATATATATATATATATATATAACTTAAATGCTAGTCTTACCGTTAGTAGGCCTCATTCACGAAGCCGGTCTATAAGGTGGGTATAAGGTTGCGGCCTATAAAATGGCACTTAATGGGTGTACACTCACACCCACTGCTCGCTTGATTGGTGGAGGGTCGTTAGCCGAACGGGTAGGATAGGGCAACCTCATCCTCTCATTAAAAGTATAATAAGAAATACAAAGTAACTACATGTTTTCTTAAAAGTTTCCCAATCTTAGTTACTTTAGGAAAAGTGAATTGATGCAATCCCATGAAATTACACTTTGCACCTTGCTAAGAAGTTAGTGGAGCGTGTGTGGTTTACCGACACACTAATTGGTTCTAAGCGAACGTGGCAAAGGGTGATTCATTGTTTATCATAGTTCGATGGAGCATGTGTGGTTTACCAGCACATCGAATAGGTGATCGTTACAATTAAAGCACCATGTGAATTTGCATGGTAATTCACACCCGCTTTGTGATCCTCGGTATCCCAATCATAAACAAGAGGGGCATATCGAGATTTAAGCATGCCATTGAAAAGTTTCAATGAATCTCATCCGAATCTAGGAATTCTCAATACATTCATGGTGGAGAATTAGTGAATCGTCATTCACTTACCTTCAAATTGTTTGCATGTTAGATTACGACATCCCTTTTCTAATGTGTAAATATTGTTGTTGGATCCTAGCCCTAATTTTCTTATTAGGTGAATATTAGGGATTCATATTCTAATCTATCTTTGTCCTTTCTAATTATAGATGTCGAACGCCAACAATGCTGCTATGAGTTCTTTCACTTTGAGGAGCCTTTGTCAAAAGGTCACCTTTGATGGAATGAACTTTAGCGAATGGATAAGATACATTCGCACGATTGCTCGCTATGAGGATAAGGAGTATGTCCTCGATGAGAAGCTCGAGAAAATCAACCCCGAAATTGCTACTCCCGCCGAAATCACCGCTTTCGAAACTCACGAGCGTGATGCAACGAAAGTGCATTGCATCATGATCGCGACTATGAACTCCGAATTCCAAAAGTCCTACGAGGACATGTATCCGTACGAAATGCACCAAGACTTATTGGAGAGATACCATCAAAACGCGAGACAAGAGCGTTATGAGATTTTCACAAACATGATTTCCGCTAAGATGGGTCATGGAGAGTCTCTTACCGTGCACTTGCAAAAGATGCAAAGATATGTCGATCGCCTTGCAAGTTAAATGTTGACTTTGGGGAAGACTTGGCAATGACATGGTGCTTCATTCTTTGCCTCCGAGCTACAATCAATTTAGGATGACCTATCACATGAACAAAGAAGAGGTCACCCTAAGCAAAATCCAAGGTCTCTTGAGGGTCGCTGAGAGCAACTTCAAGGACAAGTCTGTTGCACCAACTCCCAATCTACCCGCTGCTCCTGTGTTGGCAATTGGACAAGGAAAGGGAAAGAAGAGGAAGGCTTCGTCAAAGAACCATCGCAAGGTGAAAGCTTGAGATGGTGCCTCTTCTAGTGGGACCAAAGTTGATCCCGCTAAGCCCTGCTCCAAACCGAAGGAGGCAGAGTGCAACCACTACCACAAGATAGGACATTGGAAGAGAAGCTTCCCGGAATACCTACAAGCCATCAAGGAAGGAAAGATCAAGCCATCTTTCGCAGGTATATATACAATTAAATCTAATGATTCCCACAATACTTCTTGGGTTCTTGATACTGGTTGTGGTTACCACATTTTTTCTAATGTGCAGGGACTAAGAAGAAGTAGAGACATGGAGCATGGAAGAATAAATCTAATCATGGGGAACAAAAGATCGTCGCCTGTGACCAAGATTGGAGTGTATTCTTTAGTGCTTAGGAATAGTTTATCTTTAGATTTAAACAATTGTTGCTATTCGCCAGAAATGGCTCGAAACATCATTTCTTTTCATGGTTTGTTTAGACAAGGTTTTAGATTTTCTTTTAATAATGAGAATGGTTCTATTTTAGCTTATCTAAATGTTGTCTTTTACTTTGAAGCTATACCATGTAATGGAATTTATGAAACTGTTATGATTGTTGATAACTTAGGAAATGATGTTTTGTACTTGGATTCTTCCAATAGTATGGATAAGGCATCCTTATGGCATTGTCGTCTTGGACATGTCAACAAGAAACGCATAGCCCAACTCCAAAAGGATGGAGTGTTGGAGTCATCCGACCTTAGGGAAGATGACACATGCGAGTCTTGTTTACTTGGAAAGATGACTAAGGTGCTGTTTGTTTTTCTGAAGCCAAAACGTCTGCAGTCTGCGGACCACATCTGCAAGCCTCTGTAACAGAAGAGGTGGACCAAACGTCTGCAGTCTGCAATAAGAAGATTGTTTGTTTTTTAATGTCTGCAGGCTGTTGAAATAAACTGAATTTTTAATAAAATTATTTTACAAACTTAAAAAGATTTCTCAAAACCAAAAATTTAATAAAATAGTCATATAACATTGGAAATAAAATTCATGCAATAAAATTAGTCATACAATTGTAAAAATTTGGTTTTGCAATAACAATTTCATTTAAAACAATTCAATGCATATTGTGCATCAGCTGATCAGCAATTTCATCTCGTAACCGTGTCATATATTCACGGTCTGCTGCAGTACCATTTGTTGGAATCTCATCTTCATCATGATTAATGGTCACATTGTTATTTCGAAACGAGACATTGGCTTCATCGTATCGTGCAAAATACTCATCACTCAGTCCTTCTCTCCTTATAAAATTATGAAGCGCGAAACATGCCATGAAAATGTTTCTTTGTGTCACAAACGAGAATGGTGCCATCCTCTTCAATATAGGGAAACGTGCTTTCAAAACACCAAAAGCATGCTCAATGACATTCCGAAGTTTAGCATGTCCATGGTTAAATTTTTCTTTATTGGTCAATGCACGTCTTTTACGAAAATCTCCAAGCCAATACCTCACATTACGATAAGGGGCCATAAATCCTCGAGTGTGTGCATACGCGGCATCACAAAGATAATATTTGTTTGTAAAAAAATGCAAAACACTAATCAATTTTGAAACGAAGATAAATTTTTTTTATAAAAAAACAAAAAATTACCTGGTGGTGGAAACGGGAATGAAGCTTGTGGATCAGATACTGCTTCTGATAAAATTCTAGAGTCATGTGCTACCCTTCCCACCCGGCCACAACAAATGTGAACATCATATTGAAGTCACAAATTGCCAATACATTTTGGTAGCAATCTCCCTTTCCCCTACTTCTATATAAGTCTTGTTTCTTAGCAGGGACAACAGCATGTATCAAAGTTCCATCAAGTGCACCAACCGCTCCTTTGAAAACCCGTCGTAGCCTCCTATTATGTCCTGGAATGTTTGGATTCAGATTAAAAGAATTTGGTACTATAACATCTTGTGCGAAAAGCATCATTTTTTCGAACACTTCATAAAAAGATTTATAAATTGTTTGCTTCGAGTGTTGAAATCTCCGCTTAATAATCACGCAACGTTGATTATGGCCGATCATCATAAAAAACATAGCCATCTTTTCCTCAACCGATACATGTTTGCTGTCCTTTAATAAGTAATGTGCTCTAAAATGAGCACATAGTCGTACAAATGAGTCGCGGGACATGCGTAACACTTCAACACATTGTAAACGATTACGATGTAATAACTCCAATGTGTATTCATGTCCCGTCATTTCCGAATCATTATCCCGCAATCGTTTCACACCCCTCTTCCAAAAATAATGGATGTATAGGTACATAAGAATTACAAGAAGTAACTTTTGATCGTGATCCATTATGAACCTAAAAACAACAAAGTAGAACTTTAAAAAACATTAAATTAATCATATTTCAAGTAGCAAAAAAAACGCTACATAAATCATATTTCAAGTAGCAAAAACACATTAGATAAAACATATTACATGTAGCAAAAACACATTAGATAAAACATATTCCAAGTAGCAAAATAACAAAAAATAGTTTCAACAAAGACAAAAAGACCTAACAAAATAGTTCAAATAGAAGCAAAAGGACCTAATATATAGTTTCAACACAATAAAAATCATCGGACAATCTTTCCGTCCTTCAAAACTCCTAAACTTGTACCCGTCATCTCAAGCCATCCTCGTAATATCTCGGGAACATCGGGAAAATGCATCCACATCTCTCTCATGTTCATAGTCCACCAAAAATATGATATGCAACAAAGCGTAAAGGCTCTGTAGGGCCTAACTGTAGCACCTCTAATTTCTCTAAACATTGAGGAATTGTATACCCTTTAGTCAAACTTTGTAGAGCTTTTTTCATTTCAAATGCTAAATCGTCAGCAGTAACAGAAGTTCCATCCGGTGAAGAAGCAGACGGTGAGGTACTAGGAGCTTTAGGAGTTGAGGGTTTAGCCCTTTTGTTGGGGTAACCGGATGGTGAAGCAGCAGAAGGTGAAGCATCAGATGGTGAAGCAGCAGAAGGTGGTTACTCATGAAAGTCTCACTAGCATGATGAGAAGTGTCATCACCATTATCATCTAATGCAAGAAAAGGGGTGGCGGTAATCTGAAGTGGTGGAAGACGACAAGAGGATGCTCCAGCTACTGAAGATGATTGGGTTGAGTAACTCCTAAAATTACCGGTGGCACTATTTCCATCAAAAAGACGAGCACAAATATCTGGAAAAGGCAGTGGCATTGTTTTCAACGAAAGCAGCCTTTGGATGCCCCTAAACCCAAATATAACAAAAAATAGTGTAAGAATATTTGGCAACTTCAAACGTAAATGTTTAAAAGTGTTTGTTTGAGATTGTACCTTCTTAAAACCATCCCACTCCTCGACTGTTAAGTTAAAAGTGTTTGTTTGGGAATTGTATATATTACCAATTTTGTTTTTTAAATATACCCATCTTGTGTATTTGGCTTTCAGATTGTCATATGCATTTTTCATTTGTTTTTGACTCAAGTCAATGCCAAATTTTTCCTTAAGAACTCTTCCAAGCCTTATCCATGAATCTTTCTGCAAACTCAATCCTTTTCTACCAACACTCTCTACTTCTTCAATACAAGTATCCACTAAGCATTTTAATTGCTCATTGGTCCATTGATGTTTATCTCCCATTTCTAATAACCAATATAGCATTCACAATAAACAGTCAACAACTAACGCTTTTCAACAACAATTTTTAGCACATTCAACAACAATTTGAAACAACAATAAGTATTTTCAGCCTCCTATTTCCACAAAAAAAAATTTAGCATATTCAGGCAAACAACAAACAACAATCTAACAGCAATCTTAGCAAAAAAAAAAAAAAACAATCAAACAACAATTTCAACAAATTAGAATTTTCATCAAGACAAAACTTGATTTCAACAACTAAGGGAACATCAGATTTAGCTTTGAATTTGATGAAGTTATGTTATTATATTTATAGCCACTGAAATATTTGTAATTGTGCGTATAATCCCCTGGGCAAAAGCAAACCTAAATTATACTGCTCAAGCACTCATTATATCTGCTGGTATGCTCCAAATTTTAAACTTTTCAATTGATTTTATATAGATATAGTATGATTTTATAAAGATTCTTGTAGATGTGATTTGATTTTGATTTGATTATTGAAACAACATCCATTGCTGCATACTTTATCACTGCTGAAAAAACTATATAGGAGTGTGCAAAGAAAAAACACACGCACCCTTTATGATAAATCCTCTTAATAAATCAAACAACAAGTTGAATTGAAATTGGATTCAAAGAGACAGGAGGCGACGGCATACCTGTTTGTTCGCTGCAATCGAGAAGTGAAGCTTGCTGTTCGGAGGTGACGACCGTAGATGCGATCGGAGAGGAGGGTAGCGACGGGCGGTGCGGCAACAGATCGGAGGTGATGGTCGGTCGACGAAGGTTGCTGGAGTGAAGATCGGACGTGTTGGAATTGTCGAGCTATGTGTACGAAGACAGGAGGTTTGGACGAATGGAGGCGGAAACAAAAAAAACGCGTGTCTTTTTTTAGGTCAAAGGAACTTGGCAGAACTTTAGAAGAGGTTGGCCCTTATCTGTGTGGTGAAGACCTCACGCAGACATTTTTATGTCTGCGCACTTCAGAAAAACAAACACACTTGAAACCTATAAGTCTGCGCGTGGTCTGCGCTGCGCAGACAAAAGACCTCCCGCAGATCTGCAGAGAAAAAACAAACACCCCCTAAGTCACCCTTCGCTGGTACGTGCGAAAGGGGTGAGGGTCTATTGGACCTCATACATACCGATGTATGTGGACCGTTTAGATCTACCACAAAGGATGGTAACCGCTTCTACGTGACTTTTACCGATGAGTATAGTAGATATGGGTATATCTACTTAATCAAGCAAAAGTCAGAAACTTTTGAAAAGTTCAAAGAGTTTAAGAATGAAGTGGAGAATCAATTGGGCAGGAAGATCAAGATGCTTCGATCCGATCGAGGAGGAGAGTACCTAAGTCTTGAATTCCACGATTATCTCAAGGAGTGTGGAATAGTTTCACAATTGACGCCACCTAGGACACCACAATTGAATGGTGTGGCAGAAAGGCGTAATCGAACCTTGTTGGACATGGTTCGCTCTATGATGAGTCGTGCTTCACTATCTATCTCTTTTTGGGGGTATGCCTTAGAGACTGCCGCCCATATCCTTAACCGAGTCCCTACTAAGAAGGTTGCCAAAACACCTCACGAGATGTGGACGGGGAAAGCTCCTTCGTTAGCACATATCAAGGTTTGGGGTTGCGAGGCTTTCGTAAGACGAGATACTCACGACAAGCTCGAACCTCGTAGTGAGCGATGTATTTTCATCGGCTACCCGCAGAAATCCTTTGGATATCTCTTCTATAGACCGAAGGACAATGTTGTCTTTGTTGCGAGGAGAGGAGTTTTCCGAGAGCGAGAACTCATAGGCCAAGGAGACAGTGGGAGGCAAATCGATCTTGAAGAGATTCAAGAGTCGATAGATGAAGGAACCTCTACCGCTGGCGCTCAACCCGAGGAGGAAACTCCGGTTGAACCGATTGACATATCATTACCTCTTAGACGTTCCGAAAGAGTTAGGTTTCAACCCCAGTTGTATGGTTTTCATATTACTACCGAAGGGGACACGTATATTAGTGATAGTACACTAATAAACCTTGATGAACCTAATAGCTATAAGGAAGCCATGGCAGGCCCGGAGTCTGCGAAATGGAAAGAGGCAATGGATAGCGAGATCCAATCCATGTATGATAACCAAGTTTGGAATTTGGTTGATAATGTGCCGGACGTAAGACCGTTGGGTGCAAATGGATCTTCAAGAAGAAGACCGACGTGGATGGAAAGGTACACACGTTAAAGCGCGATTAGTTGCGAAGGGCTTTACTCAAACTCCCGGAGTTGACTATGAAGAGACCTTCTCACCAGTTGCGAAGATAAAATCTATTAGAGTGATGCTAGCTATTGCCGCATTTCATGATTATGAGATTTGGCAAATGGATGTCAAGACCGCTTTCCTTAACGGAAGTTGGCTGAGGATGTTTACATGGCTCAGCCAGAGGGTTTGTGGATCCGAAGCATCCGAATAGAGTGTGTAAGCTTGAGAAGTCCATTTATGGACTAAAGCAAGCGTCTCGCAGATGGAATCTTTGCTTCGATGAGAAAGTCAAAGAGTTTGGATTTGTACGAAGCGAAGATGAATCGTGTGTATATGTCAAAGCCAGTGGGAGTGTAGTAAGCTTCTCGTTCTATATGTCGATGACATATTACTCATAGGAAACGACGTCCCGACTCTGCAGGAGTTAAGTCCTGGCTCGGGAAGTGCTTCGCTATGAAGGACCTCGGAGAGGCTTCCTATATTTTGGGAATAAGGATAGTAAGAGAAAGAAGTAAGAGACTAATAGGACTTAGTCAGAACACTTACTTAGAGAAGGTACTAAAACGTTTTAGTATGGAAAACTCGAAGAAGGGAGAATTACCGATACAAAGCAATGCCAAGTTGAGTAAGACTCAAAGTCCGAGTACCGAAGCCGAGATAGCTGAAATGAGCCGAGTTCCATACGCTTCCGCAGTTGGCTCAATCATGTACGCTATGACTTGTACTCGCCCTGATGTAGCCTTTGCTTTGAGCATGGTTAGTAGATATCAAGGGAATCCTGGCAGAGCCCATTGGTTGCGGTGAAGAATATCCTTAAGTACCTTCGGAGGACGAAGGAATGGTTCTTAGTCCTTGGAGGGAGTGATGACTTGAAGGTGCGAGGGTATAGTGACGCCAGTTTTCAGACCGACAGGGACAACTACCGTTCGCAGTCGGGCTGGGTCTTTACCCTGAATGGAGGAGCAGTAACTTGGAAAGTTCCAAGCAGGAAACCGTAGCTGATTCAACGTGCGAATCAGAGTACATTGCAGCGAGCGAAGCGTCGAAGGAGGCAATATGGCTAAAGAACTTCATTGGTGATCTTGGAGTTGTACCTGCCATAAAGGAGCCCATGGAGATTTTCTGTGATAATGAAGGAGCGGTTGCCTTGACCAAGGAACCGAGAGATCATGGTAGATCACGACATATCGACAGAAAATATCACTTTATTAGACATCGTGTAGAAGAAGGACAACTCGTAGTGAAGAGGATATCATCAGAAGATAACCCAGCAGATCCGCTTACGAAGGGACTGAGTAGGGTTAAGCATTTGCAGCATGCTAGGAGTATTGGGCTGAAGGATGATATTAGCATAGATTAGATAGTATTAGAAACGTGTAATAGATAAATGTAATTAACATTTGATGATTAAATAAAGGAGTTTTATTTATAAGTAATGTTACTGTCTTATGTTAATTGTTTAACTATTGTTTCACTTTGCATGTTTTGACTTCCAGAATAATTGAGTTTATTAAGAATAATCGAATTGTTCAAATAGTCCACAATCGTTCATATGTCGGAAGTAGATATGAATGAAGATTGTCATGAATAGGTGTGTAGAGTGTCTAAATGGTGTTAGACATAGCAAAAGATTGCTGCAACGTTCATGAGTGCTTATGAACTAGTTTGAGCATTGGAACAAACCCGCGCTTGCTGGAATCACCTTATGGAATGATAGTAAAGGGTGATCGCAAGACGATAATATCATATAGTCTTAAAACCTAGATATATGGTTTGTTATTGGTTAATTGATTGTACATTGATAATGCGAAAACGCATTGGTAACTCGATGTTATAAAACGCATTGTTGTGTGTAGTTGGTTAATGAATAAGTAAATGCATATAAGTCGAAGTTTATCTGTAACTTTTATCCTAAGAAGGAAAAAGTGATATCTCGGCCGCTCGATGATTTGATTTGACTTATGTGCGGGCCCGGTCAGAACTGAATTGATGTGTTCGATTAAGTTCTATGTCAAATAAATCGGAATCGAGAAACCAAATGCTAGACTAACTATTCCATAGTATTGTCAGCATGATATCTAACAGAGGACTGTACGATCCCTTATCTAAAGGACAAGATTGATTAGATCAGAGTTTGACAGCGTCTTTGAGAGCTACGATTGCAAATCGGAATGTACCTGCGCATATAGTTACTAGACTTATCCAAGTGGGAGACTGTTGGAATAGTGTCTAAGGCTGCAACTATATTAGGCAAGTATTTGACCCGATTGTGCATGGTCCTTTTGGGTTGCCTTCACCATAGCAACTTGGTAGGATGA